GGCTCATCAATGCATCTGGCAATAGTTAAAGAGAAATATCTGTGGAGTCCTTGGTGCTCTCTGTGCTTGGTTGATCTTGGACAGCAAGGACTCCACAACAATTAAACAACAACTCAGTTCCTGGATATTGACTGTCTATTTTTCCTGTCTGTCTACTTTTTTTTAAAAAAAAAAAATTTCTTACCATAGGTCTGGAGGCTGACCGGCTACGGTTTGATCCATTCTTTCAAACACGAACATGCCAAGCAATCCATCTTCCGCAATCTGAGTACAGGAGTCATGCAGATCGAAATGGCCCCGGGCAATCGCATTTTCTCCTGCGGCGCAGACGGTACTCTGAAAATGAGAGTCTTGCCCAACGCGTTCAACATCCCCTCAGATCTCTGTGACATTATGTAGCCTCGGCGGCTGCCCCCTCAAAAAAGTAAAAGCCTGACCTTCCATCAAGAATTAAAGGAATGCTTTTCTACTCCTAGCTTCCCAAGATATTAGTGCAACATTGAAATACCAGTATTGAAGAAGCAGGGAGAGCAAAGTTTACACGCGGACGTTCGTATCGTTCCAAGCACTCCAGTGGCGCAATGGGGAGGGGGCACCAATCGCGGTTGGTGGGGAAAGCATGCCCCTTTTCAGAGTTAGATTTCCCGCGGGACGTGTAGTTGCCCTTCTGACTAGAAGCCTTGTTTACTCACCGAAGCCCAAAGAGGTTGTAGTTGCGGCAAATATCTAAAATAAGCTGGTTTTTTTTTTTCAGTGTTCTTCTTTGAACTGTCATGTCTGTCTCCCTCAGTGGAAAGCATGTCCATTTCTTTTCCAGTTATGAAAAGAGATAAGGATTTCTGAGGAAGTGTCATTTTGAGGGTGTTATTTTTTTATTATTATTATTTGTAATCATGTCTTGGGCTCCTATAACAAATGACAATGTGACGAATGCACTATTTGTGGGCTAATGTGCAATGAGGAATGATTTGGTGGCTCACCAGGGTGGTTGTTTTTTTATTTAAAGTTGAGATCCTTCTCCAGTTAGCATCCATGCGCATAATAACCGAGATACGCTCCTTTGTGCAGTTACTATAGAATCAGTTTCTTTTTTTAAAAAAAATAATAATTGCACATTAATGTTGATCGCTATGGACGGACGACGTTTTGAACCATGATAATCGCCATCCAAAATCCAATCCTGGTGTGTTTCCATTTCCCCAGCATATCTTTGTGCAATATTTATCCCCGAGTTTGCTGTGAATGTCCTCATTTCTCAATGCCCTTGATGAACAGAGCTGGGAATCAAGGCAGAAAAGCTACAGCAGATATGGTGGTGGAGGAGAGGACCTATCTTTCTTCTGAAGACTTTCATCTCATACCACATTCTACTTTTAGGATTCCTTCTGTCCCCCCTATTTATTTTCAGACTTGTCATTTTTATCGGGAATGTATTATGGGCACCAAAAGTCCACAAGAAACTATAGCTAACTTCTCATCATCACTTGAGTTTTGTTTAGGCCAGTAAACACACACACACACACACACACACCACTTTATGAAGTAATACTGTGGGAGAATCCAGTAGCAAACCCATCCACTGCTCATTTGGGAGAAACATCCTCCTTCCACATGGCCAGCTAGTAAAGAGTTGACAAATTTAAACCAACTTCCGCAGCATAATTGTATAAACTATGCAGAGGTCAATCTTGTTTGCTTGTAATATACTAGCTCTTGTCATATTTAGATGTATTTTTCTCTGTTCTAAACAAGCCAACACATTCTTACTAAGAGAAACATCTGACGTCTGTGTATTTCAATGTTGATGGATTGTATTTTTTTCCCCACTTGTGAGTGTTTGTGTCTGTGCTGTGCTGTACTGTAAAAGCGAAACAGAAGCCGATGGGATAAATTGCACCTTTGTCTAAAAGCAATTTTAAACTGCAAGCTGTGAAGTATGTATATGAGAAGAAAGCAACTATCATTTGTTTAGTTTTATCTTTGTAAGTTAAATAAATTCCTTTTATTTCACAAGACTTGGCCTCGGAAATATAGAGTTGGTATTTTATCGGGCGGCTTTGGAAAATATTGATACCAAGACTGGTTTTGATGGAATCCTTCTTGTCTAGAGGGAAAAAAAGTTAAATGCTTTGGAACTCCAACTTGTTAATAGAATTCTTGCCCCATTTTTTTTATCAGTGGGGCAAAACCTTTCATCTTATTAGGATAGCATCCCTACCTTACATTTTTGCTTTTTATCAGCTTTTAACTGATACCATGTTAATTTGAAATTCCTTCTTCTAGAATTTCAGGAGTTTGGGTGTGGGGTTTTTTAAGCATAGAAATATAGCTAGGTGCAAGTAGAAAGCTTTCCACTAATCTAAAGTAGATTTATCTCAGTGTGGTAACATCTACAAGCTTACTACAGTATTCTGGGACTTGGAGTTCCAACTGTCAGGAAGGAATTCATTTGAGAAGGACTGGTCTACATAACGGATGAGGTGATGGAAGTTCCAACTGATTGTTTTAAAGTCATAGACAAGTCTTTGTAGAGAAAATAGGAATGAAATTTAGCTAAAGAAATCCAGAATTAAGGAGCTCATCTTATAGAGGGTCCTAACTGATCAATGAACGCCACCACTTGTGTGTTTATCCCATGTGAGTACAACCGAAACGGCAAAACTTGCTTTGACCAACATGCTCCTACGCCCTGGGGTGGGAAGAGCGTTTTTATACAGAGCACTCTGCTAAGATTATTTCTTTTATCCCATCATAAGGTTGGCTTTTGCACTTTGGTGCGTATGTGCATGTGGCCTTTGCAGCAACACAAACATCAAAATAGAGGAAGGCAAAGGAATGACACCGATATGGGACAGTGTATATTATTTTCAGATCAGGCAGCAGTAGGCTTACAGGGTACATTAATGGAAATTCTTATTACAACTGCCTTCACATGGGCTGACGGGTGGAGATTCATCTCCTCTGAACCAACTGGAAGACTTGAGATGACCAGCAGCACCCCAGGGTGCTGAGAGCCGCGCTCGACTTTGAAAGCCCAAGGAGTGGTCCTCAGATATAACTAAGGGATACACCAGCCATAGTAATTTGCCTGATCTGTATCCTGATACGCTGATGGCTGGACCTTTTTTTTTTGAACAGGAGATGGGAATTTGAAGAGAGGTTCTCAAAACAGGTCCTCTACTGCAGAGGTGGATGGCCTGATGGCTGTCCGATACTAGGTGTGTTCAGATGAAAAAATGGACAGGGTACTGTATCAGAAACCCATGTTCCCAGGTGTGTAGGTGCTTATTCAACCAATTGTACGAGAGCATGGCCAACACCGGCACGAAGGTCGCATTTGAGGCTGGAGACACTTTCTGGTCGAACCCTTCCAAAGAAAGCGAGAGTTTCAGCTCGAAGCGGGCATCAAGCTGCTTCTCCCGCAAGAGGTCAAAAGCAAAGGCCACGTGCATGTGGTTCTTATCGGTGATATAGAGCACCCCACAGGCCACAAAAGCACTGCCAGCCTTGGACTGTGGGTAGGTGGTGTTCATGTGCCGCAACATGGAAAATGTCTCCTCTTCAACTTCTGCTACCATGATGTGTTCATCGGGCCGGGAACGATACATGACCCAGACACCATTTTCATCCACTGCAATGCTGAAATATGACTTGGAAGTACTGAAGAGATACATGCGCTCATAGTACCAAGAGTTCTCAATGGGCAGCGCTTTGGATATGCCCGTCTCAAAGTGGTACCTGTAAGGAAGACGGCAGAAAGGAGCTGAGAACAGGACCGCACCCTGTCCTGTTGACAATGACAAACACAACAAAGGCACCTCACGTAAACTCCTTGCTATTTTCTTTAGGTGTAAGGGAAAAGCAATAATGAATTGAAACACATTGCTTTCGTATTTCATAGAATCGCAATAAGAAAGGCCTTACAGATGATATAATAATAATAATAATAATAATAATGATGATGATGATGATGATGATGATGATGATGATGATGATGATGATGATGATAATAATAATAATAATAATAATAATAATAATAATAATAAAGTTGGATGGGACCTTGGAGGTCATCAAGTCCAACCTCCTGTTCAAGCAGGAAACCCTATACCATTTCGGACAAATGGCTGTCCAGTCTCTTCTTTAAAACTTCCAGTGTTGGAGCATTCACCGCTTCTGGAGGCAGGTTGTTCCACTGGTTAATTGTTCTAACTGTCAGGAAGTTTCTCCTTAGTTCTAGGTTGCTTCTCGCTTTGGTTAGTTTCCATCCATTGCTTCTTGTCCTGCCTTCAGGCACTTTTGAAAATAGCTTGACTCCCTCTTCTTTGGGGCAGCCCCTGAGATATTGGAAGACTGCTATCATGTCCCCCCTTGTCCTCCTTCATTAAACTAGACATACCCAATTCCAGCAACCGTTCCTTATATATTTTAGCCTCCAGTCCCCTAATCATCTTTGTTGCTCTTCTCTGTACTCTTTCCAGAATCTCAACATCTTTTTTACATCCTGGTGACCAAAACTGGATGCAGTATTCCAAGTGTGGCCTTACCAAGGCATTGTAGAGTGGTATTAATACTTCACGTGATCTTGATTCTATCCCTCTGTTAATGCAGGCCTAGCATTGTGTTTGCATTTTTGGCAGCTGCAGCACACGGCTGGCTCATATTAATATGTAATAACAGAGTTGCTCAACTTGGCCATTTGCAGATGGGTATGGACTTCAACTTCCAGAATTCCAAAGCCAGCATGCCCATTGATGAGGATCCTGGGAGTTGAAGTTCACACATCTGGAAGTGGCTATGGTTGGGAAACCTTGTACACTGTTGAGGAAGAGGGGAGGGGAGGGGAAAAGAACGGGAGAGCAAATACTAAAGAAATCTTGGGGGGGGGGGGTTTCCTTCTTGAAAAACTTTGCTTTTGAAATTTTCATTCAAAAGAAAGGGAAGTGGGAGGTAAACTCTTGTGCATTTATTTTATTTTATTTTGTCAATACAATCCAGGTGTCTGGATGAGCATCCTGTTTGTCACTGCATTTATCCTCTTGCTGGCAAAGTCTCCCTCCCTTATCGAGCTTCTAATAAATCCCAAAGAAAAACGTAATGAGGAAATTCTTCCCTGAGAGCCTTTTCAAGGTGGGCTGTGGGGGCAGCCAAGTGGATCTCAGAGTGATGGAAAGATTACCGCAATAAACTCCACCAGCTGAAGTAGATTCCCTTGCTCCCAAATGGAAAAAAATCAGCTCAGAAACATCCCGACAATTAGGTAGAAGAGGAAATAGCCCTTTCATGGAAAGGGGGATTGAGGAATGGCAGGGGGGGCGGGGATTTTATGCTCATAAAAAACTACCACTTGGAGGACAGCTAAACATCTGAAACAGAGGTGGCTCATGTGCTGATTTGTTCTTCTGAAGAATGCAGATTCTATCCAAAACTTCACCCATTTACTCTCCTGTGTCTTCTGGGAGAAATGTTACAAGTTCTGAGAAGACACCAGTCTTTAAATACATCCAAACAACAATCAAAACGTCCTGCTTAATATGAATTGTTAATTTTTTGGCCAAAACTTCCCATCTGCAACTTCTTCCATGGCCAATTGGAAGCTCCCTTTTAGACGGCCAGGGATGATTGAAAGATCTTGCTTAATGACGAAGTCTGCCTTTTAACAGACCAAATTAGGCTGTCAAGACCCTCCTTCATTTTCCTGCTGCGGCCCCCTCTCCAACGGGAGAGGGCTAGGAGCAACCCACACCTGCTCTCAAACTGGGCGATGTTGTTCTTGGCTCACACATCAAAAGAAAGGAAGTGAGGCACTACTCATAGTTTTCACCTGAGACCTTGTGAGCCAGCAACATTGGGCCAGAGCTCTTGAGCTGTCTCAGCTCCCACACAATTGCACACAGATGGACAGCCCTGCTTGCTACATGGAGCTTGGAATCAACTGTACAATGTCAACCCAACATTAAAAGAAGAAATGGGATGAGGGGCAGAGTGGAGCCAATGCTGTTCTTCTGCCTAAGCAAACGTACAATTTAGTGGACAGACAGGTGAATATGTGGCAGTTACTGATGAGTTCTGGGCACAAGCCAACTGGCACTGGCACCTAGAACAGAGGCACAACCTCTGGAAGGAGATCCATAGGTTATGTAGATCCTCAAGTCTGAATACGGGGGAAGAAGTCTCTTTCAATCATTTGTCCATAGCCCCAGAAGTCTTCCAGCTTCTAATGCAACTTCAGTTTCTGCAGAGGAGGACGCAATAATAGTACACAAGCACATGGCTTCTCGGTGGACAAAGGGACACAGAATTACAACCCTAGAAATGACTTCTTGAAGGCCACACAATTCCAAGAAAATAGGAACAGGAGAAGCTGCCCCACAATGAGTCTGGTCAAGACTCCATTCAGCCCAGTATTGTCCACACTGACCAGCAGCACCTCCTCACTGTTTCCAAGCAAATGTTTTACCTAGAAATACTAGGGGGGAAGAGTTGATATAGGTATTTTATCCTGTAGTAATCCCACTGCTAGGATAGCCCTGAATGAGACAGTATGTGTATATCCCCAACCAGGTGATCCCTCTGACTAACCAGCTGAGCACTTGCCAGTGTTTAAACAATTCTTTGGCCTTCTTTCCTGACCCCTTCCAGGGAGTCTGTCTTACCTTACCCATGAAGATCAAGCTACCCCTGCTACTTACTTCACAACAATGTTACGTCCCACTCGCTGGTAGTACAGAGCATTGTTATAGATGGTGTGGCCACATCCATAATATGACCAGGGCAGTTCAATGGTGGTGTAGTTGTCATTCCACAATGCATTGAGGTCCTGGTACTCCTTGATTATGTGTCCTGTTCACACAAAGTACAAAAGTTGAGTACCCACTCACTGAAATCCCTAGATTTTTCTAAGAATGCAATGTAGCAGTTCACATGTTGGTCTACTCTAGACCGAGGAAGCCAACTTCAAGTTCACCCTCAGCTGATCTAATGGTCTGTGGAAATGGCCTTGGGAGACAGTTGGGGGGACTGTCTGATAAAGTATAGTTAGCTTCCATCCATTGTTTCTTGCCTTGCCAACCTATTTTTCCAAAGCACCAGAAGGCAAGACAGGAAACAATGGATGGAAACTACTCAAGGAATGAAGCCACCTAGAACTAAGGAGAGATTCCCCAACATTCAGAACAATTCACCAGTGGAACAGCTTGCCTCCAGAAGTTGTGGGTACTCCATCACTGGAGGCTTTTAAGAAGAGATTGGGTAGTCACTTGTCTGGAATGATATAGTGCAGGGGTGTCAAACTCAATTTCATTGAGGGCCGCATCAGCATTGCAGTTGCCCTCAGGGGGGCTGGGTGTGTGTGGCCAGGGTGTGTGTGGCCTACTGGGTGGGTGTGGATGGAGTGGGCATGGCCTATTGGGTGGAAGTGGCCATCTCTACATCATTCGATTCAAGGGTGCCTGTGGGAGGCTGGGCAGGAGTGGGACAGATCTGAGGGTCTCTGGCAGAAGGGGGTGGGACCGGGGCAAGCGCCAAGGCATGGTCCACTGGAGGAGCCTCACTGCCTGCTGAAACCCCTCCACCGGAGCCATCAAGCCGGATATGTGAAGTAGGCAAGGGCCATTTGCTGGCCACTTCCAGGCGATGGTGCATTTGTTCATTCCTCACAAAGAGTGACACCTCCCCAGCATGCATCCGGGGGGGGGGGGCGACACAGCAGGGGCTGGTTCTTCGTTGTTTCCAGACGGCCTTGTGGAGCTAAGACTGAATGCGTTTCAGCATAGATGGCCACCACAAAATTCTACATTGGCTCCCGGCCGGCCTGGGCCAGGGTCAAGGCAGCGGGGGCCATTCGCTCACTGTTTCCAGGATGGCTTCATGGGCCACATTAAACCACTTCGTGGGCCGCATCCGGCCCCCAGGCCTTGTGTTTGACATGTCTGATATAGTGTCTCCTGCTTGAGCAGGGGGTTGGACTAGAAGACCTCCAAGGTCCTTACCAACTCTGTAGTCTGTTATTATTATTATTTATCTGGGCATGCTTCCTATGTAATAATAATAATCAGGGCTTTTTTTCTCAGCGAAAAGGTGGCGGAACTCAAACCTGGCCACGCCCCCATCAAACCCTAGGACCGCCCCTTTAGAAAAAAGATGCAAGTAAAATGTGGGAGGGGCTACTTCCGGTTTGGGAGGGGCTATTTCCGGTGCGGCCGGCCCGGAAAAAGGTGCCGGAACGCCGTTCCGCCGCGTTCCGGC